CTTTTCTTTTTTTTTTTTCTTTTTTTTGATTAAAGACCATCTAATTAAGTAGAAGGTAGAAATTACCCTCATTTGAATATTTCCTCTCTATTTGTTCATTTGGGAGACAACAGAAATGTGATGATTACCATTTCTAAACAGAAACAAGAGTATGAATTATAAAGATACACATCTAACTCTAAGTTCTCACCTTTTAACTTTTGGATTTCATATTAACATTATAATAAATCAAATTAGAAAGACATGTACGACCTTGGAGGATATCCTTCTAGTATTGAATAGTACTTCTATAGACTACTATATCACGTTTGATACTTGAATCACATTATTGGAATGATGATGCATACATTTAACAGGATTTGTGATTGCATACATAACTCATAGCGATAATTGTACACCTAATTAACTCTATACACCTAACTCTATAGAGGATTACCCCATATTAAAAAAAAAATATTGTATATCTGATAGTTTAATTAAGACTATGTATAATAGCCAACACAATACTTTTTTGCAGGGAAAAAAGAAAAAAAAAAAAAAAACTTAATTAAAACCTCAGAAACTTGTTTTGTATCTATCTGATCACCGCTTATAATCTCTGAGAGCTATATCAGTACCACTCTTTCTAAGATACTTTTAGATGTAATTTCTTCCACTTGCCAATTTCATTCTAATCTAATATTTTAACTAGTATCCGATCAGACAATTGTTTTGTCTTCTAATTAATTAGAATAGTTTAATTGGACAAATAGTATATTCTGTAGAAATATTTGTTATTGTGAATTATGAATTTAATTGTATTTGGATTTTGCATGGAAATTAAGCCAATAAAGGCGTTGTTGCAAAGCTGACTTGGTCATGATAAAAGCTACATCTAGCTAGATCATTAATTTATACCAACAACGACTTTCCAAAATTTAAACTTTAATAGGAATAAAGGCTAATTCCATATCTTTCTTGTACCCCGGAATAATTTTCCTGTGTTCCGTGAAAGGGAAAGAAAACATTATGAAAGATAAAGAAGATGATGACGTAGGAAAAGAGAAATACTAAAACCCGTTCATTTCACTAATTTGAGTTTTGTTATAGTAAAAATTTTTTAAAAATAGTTATATCTAATTTTTTTACTACAGTAAAAGGCTCTCACATAAAGTCATATATCAACTCGAATTGAAAACCCGAATCTGCGAAATAAATGGGTCCTAAAACTTCTTGTTGTATTATTATTTTTTCGCTTTCTTTTTTCTTCTCTTATCGCATACCATCCAATAAAAATGGACCATTATTATAGAAATAACTATATTATTCTGTTCTTTCAACAATAAAAAAATAATAATGGAGGATTTCATTTTTATAATTGGGAAAATATACAAAATACCCATATATTAAATACTAATATTTTTGTCCATATTACTATTAAAATTCTTAAAAGATCCCATACGTTTTTTCTTTTCAAAATACCACATTTATCCTTTGTATTTTTAAAAACTGTTTAAAAGAAGGGAATTTCTTTGGTAAGGTAAGACCTGTTTCCAATCGTTGATTATGGTTAAAATCATATTAAATTTAAAAAGTATGCAAAACATACATTTTTTTTAATACAAATCTAACAGCTAAAAGTAAAGACCTAAAATATATATTAAATGCTAGTATTTTTGTCCGTATTACTATTAAAATTCCTAAAATATCCCATATCTTTTTTCTTTTCAAAACACCACATTTATCCTTAGTGTTTCTAAAAATGGTCTAAAAGAAGGGAGAATCTCTGGTAAGGTACGGCCAGTTTTTAATCGTTGGTTATGATCAAAATCATATCAAATTTAAAAAGTATGCAGAATAGACAGTTTTTTTTAATACAAATCTAATGGCTAAAAGTAGAGACCTTTAGGTAGTTCATCTCTCTCTCTTTTTTTTAAGGACTTAGAAACCCTAAAAATTCCCTCTCATCCAAAATTTGAGTCTTTAACAAGTCAAATTTTTTAAATGGCAAAACTACCCTTATTATTAAGTTGAAACTAAGGGAGCAAATCTTGAGACACAATCATGTTTTTTCCCCTTATTTAGTCGTTGCCGTAAAATACAGGGATAATATTCTCCAAATATTTTGTGACCATAAAAGTTTGATTGCTAGAGTGTAATTCACAACCAAAAAGAATATGATCTCTAACACTTTTTAGTGACCAGAAATTTTTGGTACCTACGCATATTGACCGACAAAATATTTGACCTCTAATACCTTTCATGAACAAAGAAACCCTTTGGTCACATATACCTTTTGTGGCCAAAATCTATGTAGTTGATGGTCGATTTTCAGCTACTAAATAGTATCACTACAAAAAAAAAAAAAAAAAAAAAAAAAAAAAAAAAAAAAAAAAAAAAAAGTCCTTTTTGCGAGGACTAAAATTGTGAGAACACGTAGTCCTCGCCATTTGTCATGCAATCTACGAGGACAGAACCCTGTCCTCGTAGAAAAGGGGCCAAGGGTTCTGTGAGGACTAATGTCCTTGCAGAACCCTAACAATTTCTCGAGCCCGTTCCGTGCAGGGCTGATTACTCTTCTACGAAGACATTGTTCTCGCAGAAGAGTGTTTAGGTTAGGAATCCCTGTCATGTAGGGATTCCTGACCAGTTCAGTCTGTCAAAGTCACACTAGGGAGGGTGTGACCATTATTCGGTGAGGACGTCTTGTCCTCACCGAATCCCGTGAAAAAGGTGGGGTCTTTGTCCCTCCTTATCTTAAGTTTGTAGCAGTAAAATAATATCGTTTCACTGCTGTAACGCCTTCCGCGAGGATACTTATCCTCGCGGAAAGCCCTAATATATATGTTCAAAACAGAACATATTTGCTTGACTTTCTCCTTTGTTTGACGTTTCCTTCTTTGCTATACCAGAAGAGAACACTTCGAAACGCCGTGTTAATGGCCGAAATTCTTTGCAAAACTCCTTCCTTCTCTCTCTCATTTCTTCAACTCTCTCCTCCCTCCCTTCGTTTGCTCTATATCCGACCATAAAGAGGAGTTTTTCTTTGTGTATTGTGTTCATTTTCAAACCTTGTAATCTCCTCTTATTCCCTATTTTATTGAAGTTTGAATTCTCTATTGCTCTCACAATACCTCTCAAGGTAAGTTTAGACAATTTATTGAGTTATATTTTGTGTTTTTATACACATTTTGTTCATTTTTATTGTTCTAAATTGTGTAGTTCGATATTGGTTTTTTAGGTGGTAAAGAGGAAATCCGAATTTCTCTTCGTTTTCAGGTATGATTAAAATTTTATTTATGTTACTATTTGTATTTTATGTTTTTGTCTAAGATATTGTTTGTGTAATTTAGTATTGATATCATATTTTGTAGAAATTTGAGATTGTGTTATGATTTTAGGTATTGAAATTATGTTTTTTGGACATTTCCTATTGTGTTTTGATTTTAGGTATTTTTAAATGAATCAAAAAAAATTATTTATCAAAAATTATATTTTTAATTTTTAAAAAAATAATTTTAATGTTAAAATAATTTTAAAAAAATAATTTTAAATTATATTAATTCGCAGAAACTAGGATTTCTGGGAGGACCGTTGTCCTCATAGAAAGACCACAATCTGCGAGGACAATGTTCTCGTAGAAAACCTACCCGGTACCCATTTTTACCATGTCATCAGATTTCTAGCGTCCTCAAGAAAGCCTCAAGCATTCCACGAGGACTGTCTTTTGTCTTCGCAGAAAGTCTTCTGCGAGGAGGACACGGCGAGGACTTGTGTCCTCACAGATTGTCCTCGCAATAGACTTTATGCGAGGACAACGCTACTGTCTGCGAGGGCTAGCATTCTCGCAGAAAGCCCTTATTGTTGTAATGTATCTGTAATCAAATTTTGATCCCATAAAAGTGTTAATTGTGGTTAGGGGTTAATCTAATAGTCTAATCTGTTACCTTTGGTTTGGAAAATTCTAATTTGTTACCTATCTGTAGCACCTTCAGCTCAATCCTATCTTAGAATCCAAAAACATATTTCGCAGATTCGCAGATTGGACATGTTGTTTTGGACTCTTAATTTAAGACAATTTTAGGCACATTTGCACTATTCTCATAATTCATGAATTCATTATAAAATCAAAAACTAAAAGTGGTCTGCAAGGAATTAAAAAAGGGTTTAGATAGTAATTATACATACTATACGGAATATATTGAGGAGAATATATTAATCTGAAAAAAAAATCTAAAATTATATATACATGTATGTATAAAAATTTACGCTCAATCCGTAACTATTAGAGTTTGGTGAAATTCCATTCTGCTACTAATAAAAAATCCTCTAAATCCAATTCATTCTGACGGATTATATTAGATTGAACGGATTGAATAGATGCGTGGATTCGGCGAATTCCTTATTGTAGTTGTCCAAAATACACAAATTTTCACATGAACCTAGCCTATTGTGATAAAAATCTCTTCGGAACGTTCCGCGACCAAAAGAGTATTTGGTTGCAAATTAATCTTTCTACAACAAATTTCTTGTGACCAAATTGTAACAAAAAAATATTTGGTTGTTGAAAGTTTTTGAGGCAAAACAAGGCGATCTACTACTAGTGTTTTGATAGGAGAAAGTGAAAAATTTTAGGTATAATTAGACAAATATCTATTGCTGTGCGGTAACTGGCATGCATGGATTGCACGTATATGACTGATATATTATCCCCACTAAAAAAAAAAAGTTAGTTGGAGTACACGGATTAGATTCTTTTTTTTTTTTTTTTTTGGGTGGGGGGGTAAGAAAGCTCTCTGAATACTTGGACTACACGGAATTGTTGACTATGCGCATGCATGGGGATTCTTTAATATTATTTCCTCAAGACCAGGAATGTTCCAACTAGCTCATGTTTATCTTCCTAACATATTGCTCCTTTCCTCACACATATATGAAAAAGGCAATTCAGCCAAAAAAAAAAACAGCTTTATTATCTTCTCTTTGGCTTAATTAGCATAGCTCAACTGCTTTTAGCTAGTTTCACCCCCAGTGCTCCAGTACTCTTTAAACTTCCACATAATTATAGACCATGGCTTGTTCTGTTTTGCCCGAAAATCTACTCTCCGTTCGGCAAAAGATGATCGACGAGCTCATTCAAGGTCGTGAAATCGCCAACCAACTCCGAACTGTACTTTTCGAGTCTGTTTTTGGTGATGATTGGTCTGTAGTAATTTCTGCAGAATACTTGGTTTCGAGGATCATGGAGTCATTTACGAATACCCTTTTCATGTTGAATCAAAACGACGTCCCTAATGAGGTCGTCGTTTCTCAGATTCAGCGCACCAGTTCTCGTGTCGATTCCCCGTGTTTCGATGGTCAAAAATCTGAAGATTTCGCGAAAAGTTGCTGGACTAGTGTTTCCACAACTTTGAAACATACCAGCGGTTGCTGCAAGAGAAGGTAAGCAAAATATGTAAGATTTTCGACCTTTCGTCTGTTCAAATAGGATAAGGCCAAACGTGACCTAAAATCCTGCATACTCATTTGTTGATTTATACTAAGAATAAGATAAACTGAATAGAATTGCAAGCGAGCCCCTTACTCCCAACCTGATCATTTACCATTCGTGGCAAGAATTTATTTGGTGTAAATTCGTCGATACATATACATACACATGTGTGTGTGTGTATATATACACGGCTTTTGCAGTATTGTTTAATTATACAAGTATGGATTTTCTTGTTGATTATCGGATATATATGCTAAATATTGCACCTTGTCAAATATTTTCAGGAAGACTGTCTTCACATGGCAAAGAGAAACTTCAACCCTGATGGATGATGGGCATGCATGGAGAAAGTATGGACAAAAAATGATTCTTAAAGGCAAACATCCAAGGTACATATATGTGATTCTCCATCCTATAGTTAGCTAATATTAATATTAATATTTAACTATATAAAAAAAATCTAGCTCTTTTCCTCATTTTTGTTATTTCACTTACACACACACACACACACACACACAATTATAATTGGAAACAAATTAGATTTATGTTTTTAGAAATACTTGATTCTAGTGGTTGTTGGCATAACCAAATGGTAGTTTCACATTTCTCAATCACAAGGTGTAAAGTTTAATTCACTGTCCCAAACTTTTTTTTTTTTTTTAAAAAGTACTTGATTCTATCTTTTTTTAAAATTTCTGAAAACTAGGGTTTTTTGTGTGGCCAAAGTTTGGAAAACTAGGTTTCATCTGCTCATGTCAAGCTGAAAATGATCTATCCCTACAGCTTGAAACTACTTTTCCTTCTCAAATTGATCACTTGAATTTCAAGCAAAAAATTGACCACAAGGACAACCCATCTTCTCTTGAACTTCAAGTAAATCTGATCATGAACTATATTTACATGGTGTATATGCGTGCAGACACTACTATAGGTGCACTCACAAGAATGATCAAGGATGCCAAGCAACCAAACAAGTCCAGAAAATTCAAGACAATCCTCCAATCTTCAGGACAAAATATTATGGGCACCACAGATGTGGAAACCTCCTTAGAGCTTCTGAACTCGACTTTGATTCTACTAGTCCTAACCAAGACTCTTCTCTACTTCTTAGCTTCAAAAATGCCAATCTCAATAACCTAACATCCAACCAAGCACACTCTTTCTTCTCTGCATTTACAAAACATGTGGAATTGAAGGATCACATGGTACCTTCATGCGATAACAACATGATAGTAGACGGCCATATCAATAACCAAGCATCCTCGGATTATATTGTCACATCGGCCAATGAATTTCATTACCATCATCGTGATCATGATGATATTGATGACCTGACGGCGTTTGATTATCAATCTCCCGGGAACATGGCGGTGTTGTCACCAAATTTGGACTTTGGTATTGAAGGGGATCTGATGCCCTTTGACACCCTTTGACGATGACGATGCCTTTTCAACAGTAGATGAATTTTGGATCGATGGCGTTTTTTTTTTTTTTTCCCAATTATGCTTAATTTTCAAGGTGTATGAAGAAATTAATTACAATGTAGTTTATTCTCTTTATCTCCAAGGTTCTGATGTGATGCACTTGCCAGCATGTCTAAACATTAGTGTATTAATCAAAGTGGAATAATAAGTAATCCTTCTTTGTTTTCCATGCCAAATTAGTGAAATGATTTTCTTTTGGATAGTCTTTTCTCATTATGATTTTCAGTTTCATAATTTATAAATTCAGAACGGGGAGTTTTTATATAATTGAGATGTTATGCACTATCAATTACGCAATCACGTCATTCATATACATACATACATACATACATACATATATATACATACATACATATATATATACATACATATATATATATATATAAACGAATAGAGAGTGCAAGTGATATCAATAATCTTTAAAGCATTATATTCAACATCAAACCCTCAGCTCAAGTATAACTAAAATAAAAGAAGAAAGAAAATACACATTATTATTCAAAAGAAACGGAGAACAAAGAAACAACTCTGAACACAGAAAAAACCATAACAACATAAAAAAAAAAAAAAAAAAAAAAAAAAAAAAAAAAAAACACCTAATTAAGCGAAGAACCATTCATAAATAGCTAATAGTTACCCGGCCGACAAGAAAAGGCCACGACCTTCACTTTAGAAAAAACTATCGTTTATGCCTCATTAAAAAATCACTAGAAAAAGCCCAATATATAAGAACTGATCATCTCGAGAGAAAAAAAGAGTACTACCATCAATCTTTTTCATTATGAACAAAGTGAAAATCCGCCTTCCTGTTGATATATGTATCCTTTGAAATAAAAGAAAAGCGAAATGCTTAGAGCTTTGAACCACCAAGATTGTGACTTCAGATTAACACCATGAGAAGCAAAATCCAATCTGCCACATGATTACCTTTCTGAAAAATTTTATCATGATTTTGTTCGTAAACTGGAAATTGGGTCAATAGAAGAACTTAAAAATGGAATGTGCCCTAGAAATTATAGCACGCCTTTGGTCAGGACTTAGGAACATGGATTTATAGTTTCTTTTATATACAGTACGAGTCTTTTTATATAAATATATGCGATGCATTCCCCATAATATTTACTCTTAATTAATAAATATTTTGGTAGAAATTTGGTACCAATTAGTACCTTATGGATGAAGAAATCGCCCATTAGCTAGTAATTACGTTGGGTTAGTTGACAAATAATGTATTATTTAAATAAGATACTACACTTTTCCGCAAGAGAGCTTGAAGGAGATGGATCTAAATCTGTTGTTTAATTTTTAGTGTTCTATTGATGTCTAACCAATTAAATCATACCACATCATCTCATAATAAGCATAAAAGAGTAAGTTAAAAAGTGTATGATTTGATTAGTTAGACATAAATTAAGACACTAAAATTGGACAACGGCTTTGAGTGTGAAGGAGATATACGACGAGTCAAATTAAGCTGTTTGCAATAGAATTTAAATTTAGAATTAATTCCAACTTCATGACTTTTAGAGTAGTTCAGATTATGCCATATATTTAATAAGGTACGATGAAAACAAGGACAATACTTTCTCATGTAATTCACAAAGAAAAATATTTCTAGAAAAAACGGAAAAAGCAAATAATACAATACTTGTTGGTCGCTTAGGCCTCGTTCAGCTCTCACATAAAGTTACATCTCAACTCAAATTAAAAACTCGAATCAGCGAATTAAACGGACTCTTAATTCTTGATCTTCAGTTTGCTTTGATTTGGAACTCCGAGGTTGGAGAAAAGAAATAGAAATTCCTATAAAGAAAATGATCCATAACTTAAGTTAAAATCTTTAATATATAAGAGAAATCTCAAAAATAAAAATGACTTTCACTATAAAAGCAAGAAAAACGTTCCTTTCTCGTTGCACTCACTCCTATTGGTCATAGGCTCAGGAGTGCGAGGGAACATGGTCTAATCTAATCTCAGCCGTTGTTACTCAAAGGTTTAGTTTTGATCAATTCTCAGATTAAGTTTTCCAGTACATATATTTAAGTGACTTTCATATTCAATTAGTCTGATCATACGTTATGTGAAAAAGATTAAATGATCTAATTTTATTCAGTCTATTACTTTGAGTCAGAGCTTTAAACGTAGTTGGGAATTCACAAATATTCTAAACGTTTTCGTTTCCCTTTGATTTCCCTTATATTCAATTCAATTTAACGAAAAAAATGCTGTTTTCTACTTCCCTTTTGTTATGAGCTTGATCATTTCTCTCCTTTGCTGTTCGGTGTCATCAGTTTTGGAAAGAGATATAAATGCAGTCTATATTATTAACGAATTGTAATGTGTTGGCGATCTTTTGCTTCTTTTAATTTGTTAGGAAAAGAGGAAAAATAGCCCGCTTTAAAATATAAAATTATTATTGGTTTAGTAACTTAAACTATCGAGATAGATTGATAAACTAACATAATATTAAAAAAGAAATTCTTGAGTTTAAACTTTATAATTGTAAGATTTTTATCCTCATTTGAGTTTTTAGATTAAATTTTTAAGATGGATTAGTAAACAAATAAATAGTTATCCATTTCTTGAGGAATCTCATCTGTTCTTAGCCGCCTTGGAGTTGTGAATTCTGATTAATTAACAACACCATTATTATATAATTGTGGGCTCAATACCCTGTCCTAGAAGATACTTGGCCATGTGGTTGAAAAACTGCACAAAGAAACAATTACTATTATTTTATTTGTTTTTGAATATTGAAATCAATAGTTCCAAGATCTTCATGAACTCAGCAAGAAAATAACCATGCAGGTCGAGATCTCTTTCTCTGATCTGATTTTTTTTTTTTTTTATTTCTAAGAGAGAGATATAATCGAGAAAGAGAGAGAGAGAGTTTGCTTTTTTTTTTTTTTTTTCAAATAATGAGATCTGATTTTGTTTTTATTTGTATTTTTTTCTATTTTATGGTTTTTAAAAATATTTTTAATATGTTTGTAAAAACAATTAGGCAAATTAAGTACAAGAGTAAAAAGGGCATTTTACGTTTCAAAAAGTAATTTTAAAATACTAAAAAATGATTTTTTAAAACATTAATGTATCAATTCAAACTCATTAAAAACACATCATATTAAAAAGCAGTTATGTTAAAATACGGGACGTATATGAAATTTTTTTTTTTTGTTATTAATGTTATATAATGGCTAGAGCGCCCCACAATGGTATAACACAGTCTTTAAATGACTATTACATCTCTTTAATATTAATATTGTGTACTATAATGGTTGTGTTACGTTTTTGACTTCTAGATGTTATGTCGAAAATTCATGCATCAGAGGGACTCTAGCGGGAAACATTTCATTATTATTTAACCGGAGACATAAAAGAATAAAAACAATAAATAATTAAAGTTCTGTTTATTTTACTGATTTGAGTTTTGTTACAGTAAAAATATTTTAAAAACAATCACATCTAATTTTTTTTATTACAATAAAAAATTCTTATATAAATAAAGTTATTTGTGAACTCGAAGTAAACAAACTCTTAAATACAAAATTCAGAATTCCAAGTGGCAGGAATCAATTGGAAGAATGACGTAAGAAGCATGACGTCATTTATAGTTACACCACTTGCAAAATTGCCCTCCCAAATGTTTTCTTTATACGTTTTTGGCTGTTTGCACAATTGTACTGCTTGCCCAAAAAAAAAATATATTGAAAAGGAAATTTCAGCATGCCATTATATTGCCAACTGCCCACATATTTTATCTAATCCAAGTTGAGACAGTCGAGGTTATTCTTAAAAACGCGTTTAGGATGCAATAATTTTAAAGATAACAATGAGAATTTAAAATTTGTTTATATTTAGTATAATTATTAAATTTTTTTAAAATTAAAAGTAAAATCTGTGAGATTTACATCATCACATTATAGGATAATTTTAAATCCACCCAGAGTGTTGAATCTCTTCCGTCGCTGCCGCCGCCCGATCTACCACGCCGTCCAGCCTGTTGAATCTCAGAGCTTGCTTGGTCGTTTGCTATGGCTGAGATTTTGAGCTTCATCTTCTCCTTCACACTTCACATTCTCTCTTGACTCACTCACCTTCTTATTTTTATTTGGCTTTTCAGGTTGGTGGTGAGATGGTGGAGCAGTGCAACAATTGGGATTAGCTTTTGTTGCCGGGATAGAAAAGAAAGAAATGCATGATTTTTCAAAGGTTCGGTGGGCAGAGGACTAGCAATACTCTCTGTTGTATATAAAGTTGTTGTGCCATTGACTTTCCGAAAGGCCAAAGGAAATAACAAAATTGTCAGAATTTGTAAATATCTTGTTTCCATAATTTCTAAAGGAAAATCATATTAAAGATACAGTGAAATCATAATTTTTTTTAAATACACAATTAAACACATAATGTATTATTTTTAAAAATTTAAGACAAGATTTATGTATGCAACTAAATATAATTATATGATTCTTATTGATTATTGCGTATCAAACGCGCCTTTACAAAAATCTGACATAATACTGCAAGCAAAATGCATAAATAAAAAATATGATCAAATCCTGCACGCAAAATGCACGAAAAGAATAAAAAATGTGGTTGGAGAGATCGCCTATAGGTAATTACGCACCCGACTCCGTCATACCGTTACAAATTAAAATCCCACTTCAAGTTAAAAAAACAAAATCATAAATTTTTTACATAAATTCCACCCTACCGCTTGGGAGCAAAAAAGTTTTGGCAACTTATAAGGCAATTTTTACGGTGGAATCTAACACTTCAACCAATAGAGTTTTGATTTTGACTGTTTAATTACTCTTTAAACGGTGAGATTTACGGCGCTGTAAATTTTTAATATAAATTTGTACAAATCTTATCGTTAAAAATTTAATCTAACAATTCAAACTAGGTGTTCTATTAGTGGAGGCTTTAGAAGGATTCCACCGTATATATAATTTGTTGACT